TGGAAGGGCATGCCGAGCAGAAGATGGTCGCGGAGAATCAAATCGCGGACCTCACTGAAGGGCAATGTGTGGGTACCCTAGCTGGGATTGGCCTTCACAGTCTGGGGGTCCGTGACCACTGAGTCTTCTGCCGCTTGAACAGCCCTCACACCGCCCTCCTAAGACAGCTAAGATGGCCTAGCATGGCGCCGAATTAGCCCTGGAGCTGGGCCATGACAAAGGCACTAACCGCAGCGGCCTCCTAGTCGCATACGAGACACATGGCGGCATGCACGGCCACCAACGCATGGGAATAAAGTATTTGGCCAAGGGCTTCCACGAGGCATCCCTGCCCTCTGCCGCCCCCTGTCTACGGTGAGACGCTGCCGACGACTAGGTCTCTGAGCGCCGCACGCCGACAAAGGGGACCGCCGGAAGAGGCTCGCTGCGACGACCTGGACGTCTTCAGCACGCGGCGAGCAGCTGCATGCACTCTGTCGTGGGCGACGATGGCGCCGCCTGCCCCCATCTCAGTCAGCCACCACGCGAGACAAGGCGCTCAAAGGGGACGACGTTGCTGCATGTCTGCGTCTGCACGCAAGACCGGTACGGCCAGTGATACGCGCATCCTGTTGTGCCTCTGTGCTCTGTTGAGAGAGGCTGCTGCCACAGTATGGCCTGACGCAGACTGCTGCCCCTTCCACAAACCTGTCCCAGAGCACCGACCTGTGTCACCAAGCCGCCCCAGGCAGCAAAGCGCCGTTGCGCAGACACCGCAGCCTCTTACATACCAGCGACACCCAGGTTTCGCATCTGCACCGCCGTTTGCTCACCTCCTGGCAGACCCGTTTTCGCGTAACGTTCTGGTGGCGACCGCTGCCACGAACTGGTCGTACTGTGCCACGGCCATGTGGAACACGTCGCCGTTACTGAGAGGCCCGGAGGTTTGCTGCTGAGGCCACCAAAACGTGGAATGCACGTTGCACCCTTGCCTGGCACCATGTCCGCTGTGGTCAGCATGCCTGCGTTCCTCGACATGCAGGAGGTGCTGCATTGGTCGGGCGCACTCAAATCGCTGACGGCATCTTTGTCAAATCTCGCGACGCTGCACTGCGAGCAACCATGTCCGCGCGTCATCATGTGTAAAGAGGCTCGGCAGATCTACATCTCGTCTACAGTCGATCGATGCCTGACTGTGAGGGCCGGTCATGCCTGCGGAGATTGTCGTGTTTCTCAGCCTGGAGAGTGGTAAATGTGCCGCACTTTCCACGTGTGCAACCCCACCTCAGCGTCAGCGAATCGTTGCCCGTCCATGCGAGACATCGCCCTCCTTGGCTGTGGCCCGCATTACTGCCACAGTTCCGCCATGCTGGACCCTTCAAGCCTCAAGCCTCCGGTGTGCCCAATCTGCCCATCGTTGTCGCTTTCGGCATTGCTCCGACTTAACTCCCACGAGTCGTAGCCTCTTTACGCCTGCGCTGCTGCAGATCCCTCTACGTTGATTGCACGGTAAGCAGAGTATAGCCGACATCTCCAGGCCAAGCAGCGATACGCTCACCATACGGTCCGCCACAATCTCCTCCGGAATAGTCCCGCTCACGATGCCCAGCTGCCCGGCGTGATGCAGCACGTGCTACAAGTCAAAGAAAAAAAAGCATCCACCCGTGCGTTTCAGACTGGCGGTGGGCGCGGACCTAATTTGGAGCCACGCGATGATGACACAGGGACGAAAATGCATTCTTCGCTCGCATCGTAGCGTTCTCCCGGAGCTCTAGGGCGGTTGGCAAAGGGTCCTTCCCGTTCAACCACATTCCGTGGCGAGCGCAGACGCCGCTAGCGGATGAGTAGAGGTTCGTTCTCGCCAAGCTCAGCGAAAACGACGATGCAAGTGTATTGATCATCCCAGCGAAGGCTTCGGATCATCAGAATCGACCGTCGTCTCTTTAGCCCCCGGCGCCTCTGTGATTGCGAAGCGATGCCGGTGCAGCATCCTCCGCCGCCAAAGATCCCGACTTGCCGCATGCAAATGCCGTTACCCTGGCAAACATCAGACCATACTGCTGATCTGGGGTCAATTTTTTTTCGAAGGGTTTTAGAATTTTCGAAGCTTGCCCGCTCTAGCCGCGAGAGAATTATCGTTAGGTTATCGTCGCAAGAATCCCATGGTCGCTCTACAGGGCGAAGATCTTCGGCGCTTACGGCAGCCTCAGAGCGCGACGACTCATGCAGGCTTTCGTCAAGATAATGCCGTGATGCCAGGGGTATCAACACGTGGCAACCGATTCCTTTTGCCTACAGTAGCGGCCGCTGGCGTGAACGATGCAATATTGTGTAACACCGAGGCATCTGCCCACGCACTTCCGCTTGTAGATGCCCAGACGTCCACGCGCTGCGACGAACCTCTAGATGCTGTCTTTAGGCACTACTTCTGGCTCGCGTCGATGACAGTGCAGCACACAACCATTACCCGCGTATTAAATGAGGTTCGATAGAGCGCGGTCAGCGTGGCTTTCGAAACGCAGTCCCTGACACGCATCTCATTTGCAGCCTGTTTCAACAGGGGCTGCACATTGCCATGTGCCACGCCGATATTGAGCGTATTCCCCTCACTTTGTGACTTCTGAATACCTTATCTCCACCCATATTGCCTCCGATTATTGGACTTGATATTTTCCTCGACGCATATGGTTTCCTAGGTGGGGCTAGCAGCGCACTCTGCTCGGTGTAGAAATGTCGGTGAGGCGGCGAGCGTCGGTAGACGATAAGATGGAAGAGGGTCGCGATGGGCTTCTTCGATCGTGACGGGTCACGAGCTGCTCTGGATCTTCAGGCGTTTGTGGAGACAGGACTAGACCTCGGGTCCTTCGACAAGGTGCGAACCGAAGGCGTGATAGTGCTGACTAGTGTCTTCGTGGATGGCGGGTATCGTCAACTATAGTAGGTTGAGGCATCCCGCGGCGAGCGTCGAGAGCGAATCTCGACCCTGGTGGCTTGTGGCATCGGAAGATTTTACACGAGGATCTGTAGCCACGCGACAATGGCGCTCCTCAACGACAGTCGCTGTGGGATGAGACCGTAAGAGTGAGGAAGTCTGTTGTTTCTGACTCGAGTCGGCGACTGCGTGGAGTGTATTCGGTTGCCTGTCGCCGAAGGACCCATTCCGCCCTCGGCCTTCAATCTCAACGATGCTGTCTTGGGTAGCCTTCGTCTCGAGGAGGGATGTGCATAGTAAGAGAAGGGTCTCGCAAGGTAATGTTTACTGGCGTTTCTGCGGCTCGGGTGATGCGCGCGGCGATCAGGCCCAGTTCCGGCATCCAGGTCGAGCTTCTGGGCTTCGCGGTCTAATCTCTCTGCTATTGCGAAACGAGTAAGCGGTACTGGCAGTCCCTTACCTGCTGCTTGGCCTTCCTCCTCTGATGTACGATACGGGAGAGGGCCTTCTGCGGTGTCTCCTTCTGCCGAATGTACCACCGGTGACGGCTAATGCGGTTACCGAAAAGAGAGCGGCAGTCACAATATACCAGAGGACGAAGGAAATTGTTCATGACGTAATGTGGTTCAGTGGGAGGGTGGTTGTATCTGCAGTTGGGCAAAGGCGGCAGGTGAGGAAGGAGCTTGAGGGTTATATCAAGGCCCTGACAACATGCACACCCACCAAAAGCCGATGTGCTCACATTGCGTCTATTGGCACGGAGAACACGACTACATGTCGATTAATCTGGTATCAACACTATGAAGCGGTCGCAAGAGAGTAGAACTACTGACGATCGATGAGGAGATGTCATACAAGACGATCGTCTGAATTACAGAGTGCTCCTACAACTACAACTTCACCAAGATGACGCTCTTACATTACTTTTAGATCACCTAGCAATCCTGCCCGAACCGTGAGGGGCCAAATAGAATCAATATCCTCTCCAAACCAACCATTGCGAACAATTACATGTGCGAATAAGGGCGGCCATAGCCGTCAAACAGTATAGTAGGGCCTATTGACGTCAGCACTTAGCTGTATTCAGAGTATACTGTGTGTCACTTACAATGCTGATACATGCTTGGTGAGTACGGGGCGCCAGCATTTCCATAAACGCCAGTGAGTTGACTGTTTTGGACAGGTTGGCGAAACCCAAACGATGTATGCGGCGGTGGAGGAGGCACGGCTGCCTGGTAGCCATGTTGTTGTGGCAATGACTGGTATCCCACGTTGCCATGTTGGGTTTGTGGAACTCCGTTGCGGAAGGGGGTTGTCGGCCCTACAAATAGCGACCGTGAAGTCGTCTGGAAATTGAAGCGCGCTCCTACGAATGAGCTATAACCACGAAGTTCAGCCATCGACTGGGATTGAATGACTACCGGCGGCCAGCACCAGGTCTTGCACATGTCGAAAGTGCTTGTACTGGGAGCTGGGTATACCTCAACATAAGACGACTCACGCATCTCAGGGGAATCAGACTCAACCAACATGATTGGTGTGCCATCATGTCCCCATTTTGGGTACTTGCAAATTTCCAAACACAGATGACGAGGTTTTCCAGTAGTGCGCCGTGATGTTGGGTTGAAGTGAGGGTTGTCGCTAAATTCTTTGATGCGCAGATAGCGGAGGCAAGGGTACTGGTTTTCCACTATGAGGACAGGGGCGCCAAGAGTCGATGATTGCGGATTGTTCAACAACATGACGACTGTTCCAGGCTGCAATAAACTCATGTCTCGTGGAAGTGGCTTGTAGAGGAAACGATTCTGGCGTGCCTCCAGTTGCTGTACGCGCCTCCACAGCTTCCACAAATCAACCGTATCGATACGAACATCAATCGCCCAATCATTCAAGTTCTCACACTCGATGTAGAAGCGCTGTTCAAGGTTCATCCATGTCTCGGTCTGCATGGGGAGTGAGCCGTTCGCCAGTCTTAATGTGTAGACACCTTCATCTGCTGTACTATTGCCCATGCGTAGGCACATTGCCATCTCTCCAATGGCAGCTGGTGGGGATTTAGTAAGAGCATAGAAGTACGCGAAGTCATGATCTACATCAGTGACAAGTACTGGATGTTTGAAGAAGCCTTCTTGCTGTTTCTGCATGTGAATGACTGAGGCAGGAAAGTAACCACCCTCAGGGATGAAGTAAACCTTACCAACAACTGGTGTGCTGGTTATGGGATTGTGAGTCCGTCGAAGGGGCGGGGCCTTGTCCTGGACAGGGCTAAAGGAAGACACAGAAGATCCTATAGTGGAGAAAGGCCTCTGACTTGTCCCATCGGGAGACATAACATGCCGTCGCTGTGGCGGTGAGTGGTACGTTGGAGCTACATGTTCCATCGTGTTCTTGGTCAACGCACTCGAGTTTGAGTGCATCGCTTCCGTCGCTGTAGAAAACTCCGTTTCCAGACTTGGTATCAGGGGTGCCTCCGCACTGAGCGGCAGCTTTGGTATGCGCTTCGTGAGCTCATCGGAGACGGCGGGCTCGTGACTGCGTTGTTCCAATCCTAGCTCTTGGGTCGGCTCCTTCAGTCTGTACATCATGGTGTCATGCTCTGACTCATTCAAGGTGTTCGACGGACTATTGGAAGTTCTCCCCTTGTCCACGCTGAGGAGTGCGCCTGCTTCATGCTCAGTCACATTGCAAACTCGGTCGACAGGGCTGTTCACGATACCAGAATACTGATCAGCTCCCATATTATTTTGAACCTGCTCCTCTTGACTTGCGGTGGTAGTGTAATAATCGGCAGGGGTAAAGACCGTCGAGTTCGTATCCGCCAGAGAAAGAGTGCGTGGTATGATCGTAAGCGTATGAAGCACGTTCAAGGTTCGGTCGAGAAGCAGATGGCTCGTGTGGTCGCTCGTGTGACTGGATGACTATGTGCGCAGAGTCAAGACCTGAAAACAAGTCTTCGGTATCTCCTTCTATCGACTCGTCAGCGGCCGGGCCAGGAGAATTTCGCAGTCGAAACTGTACGCCGATTGTAAGTGGTGAGCGTTGACTCTATGACACAGGGAGAAAAGAGAGTGCGAGAGCTATGTAGCAGCTCAAATCCGGGCGCGCACGTGTTCAGAGCAGAAGGTAGGGATAATGTGACCAAGGCGCGGTGAATGTCGGGTGTAAGATGGTTTGAACAGGGCGTGCTAACGGGCTGAAGGGCGCTGTGGTTGCGGAAGTATGGTAGCAGATACAGGAAGATCCAGCACCCAAGTTACTTCGGATAGCGTGTATCGAAGAGAAGGAGACCCTGCGCGGTTGTTAGAACGATATGATGGGACTGCTGCAAAAGGGGGTCGCACGAGGTTCCAGCGAGACCAGACCTGGAAGCGAACAAGAGTTGGGTGTGAGCAAAGTAGTGGACGAGGAACTTGCTAGGAGTTGAAGAGTGCATGCACTTTTGGAATGCGCTTTTGAGAGTACTCCGGGTGCGTTAGTAATGAATGGCTTGTGCGTAAGGATATACCAAGAGGCCCAGAGAGAGGCGGCCAAGGCACGCAAGTGAACGTCATAGAACTACTAGCTCTATAGCTCTTGTAGTTTCTGATGTCATCTCGCCACTACCTTCGCTGTCATGTTTGTATTCACTGGTACAACGTCCATGAACGGATGAAAGGGAGGCTTTTCGTAGGCCATCAGTCGACCCCCTTCGCGGCTAGTGGTACAGTCGCCATGGGTATGATAACGTGGGAGTGACGGAAGAAAACATCAAAAGGAAGAGCATCGCAACAGCGATACAGAGCGTAGGTAGTGAGAGATCATTTGATGTGGTGGAAACTGTCCCCTTGAGCGACTGGCGAGAAAGAAAAGGTGTGTGCAGTCTCTGTAACGAGGACAAACAATATTAGACCGAGAATGAGTGAGTATATTGTAGTTTGAGATCGAAATAATATGTCGTCAGTAGCCATCGCCTTTGTCGGTTGCGCTACACAAGATACTACCTGAGTATGGGTCCTAACTGAGCTCAGCATGAGGAAGCACCGTAGATACGGTTGCGTGTACGGCTGAGATGATCAGAAGACTAGGCAACCTCAGAAACGTGTTTGCATCAACAATGAGCGAAGTTCAGGTCGATGTTGTATGTGTACGCGCTAGTGTGACCGCGCAACCGTAGTTAGTGCGGGATGACGCAACTACGTCCCCTCACAAATTTCGCACACAACACATCCATCCCCGACACATTTATTATCCGATATTCGTGATCACGAAGCGAGCACGAAGCGAGCATGCAGAGATTTAACGAATGAGACATTAATTATTATAGTACTACAGCGGCGCAAGCAGACGTTATAAACTCCGAGGATCCAACCGCGTTCGCACCATCCTTCGATCACCCAGCTACAATCGCCCGGTAGAAGACTACATGAGACTGTGACTCGTCGTTCTGCCAGCACATGATGCAGCCTGGAGGTCGTTGATGCGCACCTCGGATCCGTACGACTTCGCAAGGCGTACCGGGAAGACGACAACCCTTTCGGGATTCGGACCTTGACGGTGGGGTGGGTGCCGGGGACCTTCAGGCATAAGCCATCGGTGGCGTTCGGCATTGTCGATATAAGGGTGCTGGGGACCTTCAGGCGTAAGCCATCGGTGGCGATCAGCATTGTCGAGAGAAAGGAGCCGGGGACCTTCAGGCATGAGCCATCGGTGGCGTTCGGCATTGTCGGAAGAGGAATTTAGGTGTCGGATCATGCGCTCTTGATATATGAGACTGACCCGGCGTCAAGCCTCCGCAGTGGATCCTTTCCAAAGGCCTCGAGATACTCGTATTCTACCTGGAAGCGAGAATTGGGCGAGAGGTTGACGTAGCTCCGTCTCTTCAACGCATCGAAACCTGGAGCCATTTTGGCTACCGGGTTGATCGTGGAGTTAACCATGTCTTGATGGTTCTCAACCATCATAAAGAACTTTCTTTGATATCTTCGATCGCCCTGTCTCTTCTCCTCAACTGTGTGGCCGTTGAAGGTGGTAAGCAGCCGGAAACTGACGATCATGGTGCCTTTTCGTCTCTCCTTACCCAGGACGACTATAGGGTGATTTTCAAAGCCGCTCTGATTCTTGTGCCCCCTAATGATGGAGGACTCTGGGATTGTCTCCGGGGTCAGGTAAACGATATCCCCTTCCATCAGCTCATCAGGTGGTGGTAGTCCTGCCTGATTGCGGATGGGTTGAGGTGGTGACCCCGTCCTCCAGTTGGACGAAGAGGAAGAGGATTCTGATGATGATCGGCTTCGCGAATCATCTGATGGCGTAGTGGAGCGTGTGGTGGGAGGAGAAGGGGAAGTCGGAGGAGAGGTCCTGTTTGGTTGCCTCCAATCTTGCAAGAATCTGGATTCCTGCTTTTTGGCGCCGGCAGTGTATGTCTTCATCATCATGATGACGGTGGTGTGATGGGCAATGATGAGTTGTGGTGAGGGCGTACTGCGGCCTTCAAACGACAGTGGAATGATGGGTAATGATGGTAAAGATCAGGAAGCTTTTGGTATTTGGGATGGCTCGATCTGATGATGATGATACGAAAGAGAAAGAGAGGGGAGAGGGAACAACCTTTTAAGAGAGGGAGTCCCCGACAGTTTGGAAAGAAAGAGATGGTACTGCTTTGCAATACCAGAGGGCTCCCATGTTACCTCCATGAACGAAACTTCCTACTCCGCTACGATACGATTGGAGACCCAAGGACATGGAGGAAAAATATGCTGGGCACACGCACAAGAGAGGCCAGAGATGATTTTGGACTAATGGTTGACGACGAGCACCAGCGTTGAGCTTATCGCAGCTGGACTTATTACGACACAAAAGTATGGTATGGAAAGGTGGCTATGTATAGCAGTCAGGAGGACACTTCCGCGCCCATCAACAGTGGAACGGAACCAGCTTCACGGACAGGATAAGCAAATGGTTGCATCGCTGACAAGTCACAACACAGGTTTCCTGGAAGCCGAGACCTGCGAGACGCACTCAATGTGCAGGAGCCGCTCCGCGAATAGATTTGTAACCCAGTGCCTGCTATAAGCACCGGAACATGACTTCCGAGAGAACTCTATCGAGGAAGAGAAGGAGCGAGATGAAATCACGAAGAAGGCACAAGGTCACAACACTCTGGGATGCGTGAACGGCGGACCTCGAGATAGGCAAATTTGCACAACCAAACTCGCCAGCAGCCATTATGAATCACATCACCACTGGAATGAGGTCCTGGCGTCGAGCTGAATATCCTTCGTAACCTACCAACTCGTCGCAACATTTCGAGACTACGGGTGCATATGTCATGATCGAACCGCAGGGACGCGGGACTACACTCCGAAAGACCTATAGACCTATCGAATTCATTTATGAGCTAGTTGTTGGAACGGTCGCCTATTGTATGACTATGGGGATAATCGAGATGCTAGAGCGGGTAGCTACGCGAACGCACAACTCGAATATACTACATCTGATAACGGTGACTGTGCGAGGAAAGCACTAGCGGTTCGTTGTTGGATGGCCAATGGACGTTAGTTCCACCTAAGGCGTCTTTACTCGCGCGCAGCCAATTGCACCTCCCCCAATTATTAAGCCAATGTTTACGGTGAGCTGGGTGTCAGCGCTAAGCGGAACGGCGCCAACGCGATTTCCCTGCTACAGACTTCCGCGATTCCCTCTCCAGGATAAAAAAAGTAAGAGATACCACTGCGCGAGAGGTATGCATTTGATGGGGGTTTTCCACCTGAGGACAACACATATTACGGCACTACATTGGGCCTTCAAAAGAGACAGGAGCTGATCCGAGTGCAGTAATATGCGTGTGCAGTTGCGTTCGCACTCGTGATTCAACCTCACTAGACTAGAAGGACGGCCATTGACAAACCTCCAAGCGCCGACGATGGTACGTCTACCGAGCCTGGAGGTTCACTAAAGCAAGGTTCGCAGATTCATATGCCACCAACACGGCCGGCGTTATGCCAGTCTTGCTTTTGGCGGGCTTATATGGGTGCGCATGTGATACGCGCATGGTGTTGCCATGACTGAGAACACCCACTCGAAGTCCAACGCGAATGTGCGGCGGGATGCTCAGAACTATATCGTCACTAACCAGAATGTTAGTCTACATTACAACGCATATTATGCATCCTACAGGCACGAGGACCTGCCAAGGGCGCTGGAGTCAAGAGAAGCGAACGGATTTGCCGAACTTCCACGCTTGTCTGAGCGCAGGGCGGCTGCAGTCGTTGAGCTGATGACCGCATGGAAGGCGCCACAGAACCGGAAAGACGTACTTCAAGAAAGCGATGTGGTTGTTCGGCTGGAACGCAGGCTAATTCACATGGGGTCTCCTTTCGTGGGATGGCGATAATCATATACTCTGCGCAAACGCGTTTAAACAATACTCGATTGTCTACTTCTCCGTGTCTTTCATCATACATCTGTTACCTAGGTATTGTCTTCTGCGCGTATACTCTACTATGCTTAGGGCTACAGATCTGTACATGTAGCTATCCGTATTTGAATTCATGCCTTACTGTATAAACAGCGTATTTCTGACATGCAGATTGAGGAACTATCTGCGGACTAAAAAAAAGCTAAGTAGAGTAGTTGCTGTTGAGTGAAGATAACATAGCCCCTACGCAAGGGCTTATCGGCACCATAAATCGCGCACAGAAACGCAACGTCATTCATTATTCTATACTCTACTCGATCATAGCGCAGGCTTGCAGCTCGT